AGTCTTGTCTTCTAGCACAACATTCATTTGACTCTTTCCCTTTATATCACCTGGCTTGCAATTTCAGATGCTTTAAAAAAACTGCATCAGAAAAATTACCTAGTGCTTTATTTATATACATATATACTCAGCCACTCAGTGTATGCATATTATATATGTATATATTATACATACACTGACTGGCCAGATTATTATGACCACCCCATCAGTACTTCGTTGGGCCACCTTTTGCCTTCAATACTGCGGCAATTCTTCTTGGCATTGACTCCACGAGATGTTGAAAGGTGATGCGAGGAATCTGACACCATGCCTGATGAAATAGCACTGTCCAGTTCTGTGAGATTTGATGGTCGTGGAACCTGCTGCCTGATGGCTCTTTCAACTTCGTCCCACAAATGCTAAATTAGATTGAGATCTGGTGATTGTGGGGGCCACCTAAGCAAGGTAAATTCTCCCTCATGTTCTTGAAACCACTCCTGCACAATACGAGCACCGTGGCATGGCGCTCTTGTTGGAAGAAGCCATCTCCATTGGGATACGCCATCAACATGATAGGATGAACTTGATCAGCAACGATACTTTGGTATGTTGTGCAATTCAGATGCTGTTCCACACGAACTAAAGGGCCCAAATCATGCCAGGAAAACATGCCCCAAACCATAACATGCCCCCACCAGCTTGAAGGCTTGTACTCATGCATGTGGGGTGCATGCTTTCATGCTGTTCCCGCCAAATTCTCACTCTGCCATCTGCATGATGCAACTTGAAATGTGATTTCATCGGACCACATGACTTTTTTCCCAATGCTCGACTGTCCAATCCTTGTGTTCCTGTGCGAATTGGAGACGTTTTATCTTGTTAACTGCAGACAGCAAAGGTGTTCGAACAGGCCTTCGGCTTCCATATCTCATACGATGCAGTGTACGGCGAACAATGCGTTCAGAGATCATTCGAGAGGATCCCTGATTCAGATCTGCAGTAATTTGATGCACTGTTGCCCTTCTGTTGTCTTGTACCAGTCTTGCCACTCTCCGTTCTGCCCTAACATTGACTAGTCGCTGACTGCCACAATTCGCAAGTTCAGACCCAGATTTTCGGCTGACAGTCCAGTCTTCAAACACTTTAACAGCTGCTCTTCAACATTTAACGAATTCTGCTGTTTTGCTGATACTCGCTCCTTGGCTCCGAGCGCCAACAATCATCCCACGTTCAAAGGCTGTTAAATCGCATTGTTTACCCATATCTTCCAAAATAAATCACTTCTACTGTCATGGTAAACAACCTGCTTCCCTATTTATAATGGTCTGGCCCTCTAGCAACTTCAGCGTGAAATTATAGCTAATTTGCCTACAAACGTCAGGTGGTCATAATAATCTGGCCACTCAGTGTGTGTGTGTGTATATATGTGTGTGTATATATATATATATATTGTACACAGTACGCCACAGCACATTAGTGACCTCACTAAATCTCATTCCAAATACCAGAGGAACCCCTAAAATTTTCGAGCACCTGGGAAACCTTATTGAAACTAATCCGGGTTTCAATGGCTAAAATGCCTCTTACATTGGTGGTTAGTAGGGAGAATGGATCTGCATTTTGGCACACAACAATGCACATATGTAAACCATCTGTGTGTTTTGGGAAAAAAGTGCAGGTTGGTATTTAGGTTCATTTATGGTGCATTGGTGGCCCATTTTGAATGAGTGCCCTGCACATATGTGAACCTGGCCTAACCCGGGTAACATCAAAAACCTGGCAGATGTTCTAACACTTATCTGTACCTGGCTGATGTTCTGCTTGAAGTTCCTCTATTTGATAGTCTTCAGGGTAACATAGAGAAAGCTTTTTTGTTTCCCAATAAACTCGGTGCCTTTGAAGTCTCAAGACATCAAAGAGGTCTCTGTTTTTGAAGAGTCATTGTTTACATTACTTAACATGACCAGCAAAGCAGGAAATTTGCAGAACCTACGCTGTCATAAAAGTTAGCAGCATGGAATGATTGTTTCCACTGTTTAACCAGTTGACATCCGCGGTGTTAAACCCCCTTCCCATCCAGGCCATTTTTCAGTATTCAGCGCTGCGGTACTTTAACTGACATTTATTCCATCATGCAGCGCTGTACTGAAATTTGTCCGTCCGTTTTTTTACTACGGGCGGACGGCAAGAGGTTAAAGATGTTTTTGCATATATCAGATATTTCAGGCTCTTAACTACAGATATAAAAAAGTTTACTGTAAAAATCCGAAAAGATATAAATATACAGGAATAGGTGTAAATATGACTCAAGATAGAAACCTTTCACAATGCAAAGCACATGTAAAATATACGCCCAAAATCCTAAATGAGTGCAGTCTATGTAAATAACTGGGGACACATAGTACTATGTGTCGCCAGTTATAAATGAATGAACAGGATATGAAGCCTCTTTGCTTTCCATTCATTTAGAATAGAGGCAGCAGAAAAAAATATTTTTCTATTTTAAAAGGGTTCTCAATGAGCTCGTCATTTGAAAAGTAGATCTCCAGACGAAAAATAGTGGGCGCCCCTGATGTAGTGCAACCAGTCGTTTCCACGGTTCCAGGTGCAGCAATGATTCATAGCTTGAAATGAGTTTTTTTCAGTTTTGAGCCTAAGTGCGTGCTCCAAATACAAAAGAAGGTATCCACTGCTTCACCTCAACCACATCTCCAAAAGAAATAGACTCTTAAAAGCAGAATGACCACTTAAGTTAATAGGTTAGTCATAAGAGCATTGCTTGTTCTCTGCATCACTCCCTTTCCAGGGTTAACAGGACGGGCTCCAATGATACATTAGACAAAGCAACAGGGAAACCATGGTAATGCAAAACGGCTTTATTGAAAAAGTTTAAAATCCAGCTTAAAAAATGTAAACAATGTGCTTGCCCAACAATAAGGATGAGAGCTTATTCTTATAAAGTGAGCACCACACTTACAGTTCCATGTGTGTGCATGTGCCCCAGTGTGTGATAACTTCATTGTGCATTAGCGCTTCCCAATGTGTTTCAACAGTAATAGACGTCCTCAGGAGCAAATAAGTCATCACACAACTAAGTTTTTATTTTATTTTTTATTAAATTCATGCAATATGGGATTTTCCAAAACTTATACTGATTGGCAAAATCAGTTGGTTTTTTTTTACCATGCAAATCAAGTCTAACTGACCTCAGAATGAACACTAATGAAAAAAAACTGTAAGGAATTAGTTCCTGCAGCTCTTAGAATGCAGCCAGATGCTCTGGAGGGTTGTTTTGCCATGAAATTGTTTAATTAATCAAATGGTCTGAGTCAATAATTGTAATGCTTTGGAATCCAATAGAGTTCCAAGAATCCTTTTAGCAGATTCAATAAAGTTCGTGGAGGCCAGTGAAAAACACAACATGCTCTCTGTAGTCACCTTTCCAGCCTATTCTTTTCCTTGGCAGAGTGTAATAAGCTTGTAAAATGAGATCTTCTTATTGAAGGCTAAATAGGAGAGCTCTTCTTAACACACAGAACACATTGCTGTAACCATCAAGAAACGAAATATGATATTTTCCTGATGCTAGGGTTGTGCTTGAGAAGTTCTTGTCAACTGTTTACCAGAAGTTTTTGCTTATTTTGTGTTGTGGTTGAAAGCAATTACAAAAGCGTAGTGTTAGTGGTTGTTAATGTAATACGCTCCGGGTTCCTTTTGAAAGCAAGCTAATTCCATGTTTTTCCAGGGGGTTTCTAGATATTTTACTCTGCATATATTTTTTATTCTGCGAAATGTACCAAGAGGAATCGAAAAATAGCTTTGGTCTGCCAGGATTCAAATTAATGACTTGCTGCCAGTCTTTGGATTAACTTGAGATATCTGGATTCAATTGAGAGATCATTCATCCATTTCATACAGACTCCACCACTTAGCGTGATGACTATAGCAAATCTTATCAGAAAAGTATTTAGAGGCACCATGCCGTTTGCTTTATATACAGCATGATCTTGCTATGTGCAGATTAAGCAGTAGAATCTTCTGACTCCTCTTACCCACCCCCCTGTTGTCTGTATACTCCCCACTTGAATTCAGGTTAGGGGTTTTGCAAAAGATGTTAAACAAGGCAGTTAAGAGAACTATGGGGTAAGTTGTTTTCCCCATAGTTCTCAAGGCTCACGGGAGGACATATACTAGCGTCCTCCCGTGACCCAAAGCTCAGTATATCAAGAGCTACAGCGGTGGTCTATACTGAGACCACCGCAGCTGAGACGGATGCCGACAATGCTATTGAGATCCACCCAGCTGCGTGAATCTATCTAGAGGCAGAGCCAGCTGTGTCTGCCCCGTCCGTTCCTCCAGTCAGCGTTGGAGTAGGGGTGGGAATCTTGTAAGGTGCGGTGACTGACTCCCTTCCCGATCTATTGAGCCGATGTGACAGTTTAATTGTCTCTAAGAAACTTGCTTGCATTTTTTTCATTAGAAAGTGTATGTATAGTCAATCTACATGGTAGAGAAGGATTAGAGAAGGTAGAGATAGTTTAACCCTGTCTGTTTGTTTGTCCTGGTGACCATTGTCACCAACAACAGAATGTGATATGAAATCCAGCATTTTGCAGACTGAGAGGTGAAGATAAATCTTCCAGTGGTGATACCTGTTCCAGTGATAACCGTCTATAAAATGGAAACCATAATGCTTACAATACCAATACCATGCTTTAGTAAACGTTCACAGTACAACAGTCTATCAAGTGCTTAAAGTTCTAACAGCCTGTGTATGTGTTGCTTTACACTCGCATGATATGCTTGTATATTATTTTAGACAATCTTATTCTCATCAATCATTGTACTGTAACTTTTATAGAAGGTCTCTTGTTAATTTGTTCACACAAAAGAATCTGCAAGTTAATGTTATGTTTTGTTTAGATAATATACTGCACCTTTTATACAGGTTTATACTTTTGATGGCTAACAATTCGCAGAGACTGCCATATTTCACTAATGTACCATTTTTTTTGTCATAGATGAGTACCATGCCAGGATTACCCACAAGACCTTGCTTTTATGACATTGACCTCGATCCTGACACTGAAGAAGTGAAAGGACTATTCTAAGCAAACCTCAGGTACACCAAATACTTTATTTTACTAGTTTTGTATTTTACATTTTAAATAATTTTCATTTTTTTTATTCTCTTTTAAATTCTCTTAGCTAAAATTACTTTGGGGAAAAAACAACCCATTTTGGAAACATCTTCGATGTATGCTGCTTAAATATTAAATTGTATATTTACAATGTTTTACAAGGGTGCACCCGTTTTTGGAATCTGGAAAATCAGAGGACACCTCTACATTAATATATACTGCATGTTAGGGGGTACATGAAGTGCATAAATTATACTCCTCTTCATTCTATTCCATGCACCCCTGCATCTCAATTTACTTAACTGTTGGAGATTTCCTAACTGGCTTATTCTGGGCTGATGTAATGGTCAGGAAGATTATAGAGATTCACAAGTGCAGCTTTCTCCTTAGACCCTGTACTGCTTTGTGCTCTGTTTTTATGAGATATGATCTATTAAGACATTATATGTATATGTGTCAATGTATGTGGTTTTAATAATTTTTTTCTACATATTGCTGCTGGGATGTTGGTCCGGGAACCTGACCAACATCCAAATTAGGAACACTGCAAGAATGCAGCTTTGCATGGCTGAAAATTGGCAATTTAATGACGTCCACACAATGATGCCCAAACACCAGGGCGATTATAACTCATGATAAATAGTTTGGAAAAACTGATCCTACATTTCTAGCATAGAAAAGCTCTAGATGTAAATAGTAGTAGATTACATTGACACTAACAGAAATAAGTTTGAGGATCATATTGGTTCTAGCAGGGGAAGGTTCATTTTTATCATAACAGATGAACTGGCTCATTTAAAGTTTAATAAAGCAATGTGTCCTGATGGTATTCTCCCCATACATACATCTAACAGAAGAGGTTTCCCATGATTGGCGGGCAGCTGGTATTGAACCTATTCACAAGAAAGGCTTTAACATCTGTAGTAGTAAACATTCTATAAAAACTCCTAAAAAGAAGGATCAATGATTATTTAAAAAAGCAAAACCTGTTGAACACAAAGCATAGTTTTACTAAGGCCAGACTAATCAGACTGAATTTTTACTATATCAGAGCTGTTTTTGGACCAGGGAGGTGCTGTGAACAAAGCTCATCCTGATTTCAGCAAGGCATTTAGTATGGTTCCAATTAATGGTCTCTACAAGCAAAGGGTGATTCAGCAGATTTTCAGCTGTGCAATAGGCTTGATATTTCTGGAGGTGTTGGTAGCATGGAACATTTATTTGGCATTGCTGGAAGATTGGTAAAAAGAGTGGAAACTGCAGTTCAGCATTTCTAAATGCAAAAAAAATACACTTTGGGAAATTAATGATTCACTATAATGAAATACATGAACATGATAGAGTATAATATAGTCGGTCCACTGTTGGCCTGAATTACATTGCATTGGGGAAAGCGAATGGAATTCTGGGGTGCATTACTAGATATACTAGGGATCACCAGCAGGAAAGAGGAGGTCCTGATTCCCCTTTTATACTGTACATCTCTTAGTTGATCTCATTTGAAATACTGTATCCAGTTCTGGAGACCAAGAAATTAAGAAAATAGGATGAGTCCAGAGCCCAAAAGGGTGAAGGGTCTGAGGGATAAAACATATGAGAGACTGCAGGAACCTGATATGTACAGACCTGAAAAAAGAAGCGATATCGAATACATAATTGAAACCTGTAAAAATGTTAAGGACCGGTTTACACCACAAAGAATGCGTTCCAGAGCGTTCGGCCTCTGGAACACAAACAGGCCAGATCCCTGTGTACAGGGGGCAGGAGGGGGCATGTCAGTTCATTGAAGTCTATGGCACCACAAGTCCATGGTCCTGGGACATGACCTCAAACTAGCAGGAGGGAAGTTCAAAACTAACCCTGGAAAGTATTCATCCTGAAAGAGTAGTTGATGCTTGGAATTGACTTCTAGCAGAGTTAGTAACATACTTGGGACAAACATAATTTTATACTCTGACAAAAAGGTTTAAAAAAAAAAATTCAAAATGTGGCAGACTTGATGGACCACTTGGTCTTTCTGCCATCACTCTTCTATGTTTCTAGGTAATACGTGCAGAAACTTGGCAGTGGTAACGTGCCGAGACGGGCTGCATCTTAATGGGAAAGGTGCAGCATTCCTAGGGGGGGGAAAATGGTAGAAAGACTGGAGGAGCTTTTGAACTAGAAAGTGGGGGGAGGGTATAAAAATAAAATTACTTAGATAATTTAATCATAGGTAAAAATAACACAGAAAGTAGTAAAAAAGGAGTTAATAATAGTGGGCTCACTCCAGTCAATATAGGAAATCCGTTGGCACATGTAAGTATAACTACCAACGGACGACCGAAATCAAGGCAGAATAATAACAATAAAAATAGTGGGGAACAACAAGGTAGTAAACTTTTGTCCCACAAAAAGA